TTTCATAAATTTATTTTATAAAACTACATGATGATAAATGTCATGTATCATCAAATCCTGAAGAGTTAATGTTTAGTGATGAGTTATTATTTGCACTTTATATAGTTTAAGTTATTTAATCTTTGCACCAATCTTCACATCTTAGATGAGGAAACTTCAGCACAGAGAAGTTTAGTTACTTGCACAGATGTGTAACTAGGAGTTGTTGGAGTTCAAACCCAGGCAGTTTGGGTTCTCTGTTTGGCTGTACAAAACTAGCTGGCTGTAGACCTCCTATTGCATTAAGTACAATTAAAAAGCAGACTACATATATTTTATTATTTTTTAAAGATTTATAGATGCATTCAAGAACTGGGTTATAGGCCAGAGGTAGAAGGGTAAGAAGGTTCACCACAGACAGAGCAGGGAGCAGAACAGGCAGATAAACTGAAATACACTGCTGAGAGGAAAATCAGGTGAGACAGGAGAGGTCTGCTGCACCAAGTGGGTCACCTCCCTGGCTGGGGATTGAACCCATGCTGCACTGGCTGCTGAGCACTTCATAGTGGTGTGCTTTAATCCCTTGTGCCAGCAGGGAGGGCCCCTGAATATATTTTAATAGTTTATTGGAAGGCCTTAAAGACTTGTCAAGGTAGCTAGGACCTGAGACCACCACTCTGAAGCAGTGGGAGCCTAGAGAAGTGAGTAATATACAGTACTCAAGGGAGTAAATGGTGCTGTTGGTCTATGGTTAATTTATTGGATGGTATATAAATTACTGATTTAATTTCTACCTTGTACACTGTAATTTCTAAAGTGACCTATGAAGTAATAGTGGCATACTATATGAATAATAAGCTAACACAAGACCGGAGATGAAATAATAACATTTTTAGCCTGAAAGATAGGAAAAAGAAATAAGAGGATGAATGAACTAAATAGGAAGCACTATAACAATAGCTTTAAAAAATCCAGACATTTAATTAACTATGGTCGGGGTCATCAGATATACAGTTTAAAAGTATAGTCACGTCTAATTTTTTTAAAGGATCCAGTTAAATACAGGTTTTATAACTGTGTAGGTTGACGTTTAGGATATAGAAGCATTGAAAATAAACAGATGGAAAAGATATGCAGTTCATATTTAGCTAAAGCTTCCCTTTTTGGACCATTGCTTTACCTTGCTCTTAATATGATTGCTAGATTTAAAACAGACATTCTTATATAAGAGACTTTAAAAGCACTGTCCTCTGTACATATTAAGTATTCAGAAAACTTAACTATTATATTTTGAGGCATCTTGTTTCTTGAGATACTTTTTTTCCATTTTTACCTAATAAGAGGATGATGACCCTTATACAGTTGTACATATTTGCCTCATAGGTTGAGTTTTCAGTAGTTTGCATCTGCAGACATTTTATTGTTTTTCTTAAGCTTTACTATTTTCATTTATCTCACAACTTTGGTTGTTATCTCTTTACTTTAAATCTGCTTTGTGATACCTCTATTTAATGGTAAGTTGTGAATTATTTTTATGCTGAAGTAATATCCTTTATTACCTGTAGTTTCGTAACTAAATGATCTCTCGCTTTATTTTTTCCCTGAGCTTTTTTGAAAGTGTTCAAGTTCTTCAGAATTATTATTTCATAAATTGTCATCTCCATAATGAATATAGATTTCTTCTACATGTTAATTGTACTGTAGCATGAGGACTTTGGGGTATAATTTTTATAAAATAAAGCTATAGGACAAGAGAACAATTGTGTCTGGACCTTTGCATTGTATGACTATGTTGGGTAAACATCCTTTGGGAGACATTTTTAAAAGACTTTTGTTTTGCTTTGCCTTTGATGTTTCATTTAGCTTATTGGGAAGCAATAGTGCTTTTGTCAAACTGAAGGAAAGGATTAAAAATCAATTAAGTGATTATAATTGACTCAAATCTTAATCACCTAAAACTAGTGAGTTTACCCTACCACAAACGTTCTACGAAGCCAACGTCACACTAATACCAAAACCTAACAAAGAAAACACAAAAAAAGAAAACTTCAGACCAATCTCCCTAATGAACACCGA